ATGACTAAATTTTATAAATATCAACTTAATTTTTAAATATATTTTTAATCTCTCCACGACCGCGGACACACCGACGTGTCAGTTAACAATATAACAGTAGTTTTATGGTCTCGAGAGGCTGAAAATCACCTCTAACTTCAAGTGGGCCTTTACATTTAAAAAAAAATCGTTCAATTTTCGGATAGGGCTAATTCTTTTCGTCTTGAACTCAACTTTTTGAAAATATAAAAACATTGTATGGTCGTCTTGTAAAACACCCTTAAAATTTATAAAATTGGAGAAATCGATAATTTTTACTTTGTAAACTACAAATTATATAATATTTTTAATTTTTAAATTTCTTTGTGGTTATACATGATACTATAGTAATAGCAACACTAAATAATATAAAGTTTTTAGAAAATTGTAATATTTAGGCATAATAATAACAGCTAAATTTAAATAAATATTTAATATAACGCCTTTGAATATCTAAATATTCAAAGCCTTAGTCTTTCCGTGGCCATGATTGCTGTAAAGCATTCGAAGCATCGGGAACCAAGAATCAAAATAAATCCGCGAAATAATCCGAAAAGATAGTTTTAATTAAAATGTCAAATATTCGCGTAAATCTAAGAAAGTATGATATAGGTAAGGTAAGCGATAATTCGGAACGCAGCCGGTGCGAGTTCGGCTGATAAGTACTAGACTTTCTTCACGTTGGCGGGGAATCCCCGATTCGTTAGATGATATATTGGAAAAGGTCAACTTTCAAGATGTTTTAAACGATTTTGTATCTAAAAGAGTAAGAAAAGTTTCTTTTTAAACTTATTGTACTTTATAAAACCATTTTTTTTTCGTTTATTGTATTTTATTGTAGCATCAAGTGAAGGTAACCATGTTGTTGCAATCTATACTAATATTATAAATGTGAAAGTTTGTGAGTATGGATGTATGGATGTTTGTTACTCGTTCACGTCAGAACGGCTGAACGGATCTGGATGAAAGGCACAGAAATAGATTATAGCCTGGAATAACACATAGGCTACTTTTTAGCCCGGAAAAACATACGGTTCCCGAAGGATAGATTTGTATTGTTTTTCTAGAGGCGAACCCGAGCGAAGCGACGGTGAGCCGCTAGTATCACGTAAGAGATTGAAGTAACAGGATACCGAAGGAGTCGATCTGATCGACTAGACCTTTGTAATAGAAAAAATGTATTTTAAAAAGTCAGAAAAGGGTAAACGCAAGGGGCCCCGAGAATTGCATTGCCTAGGGGCCCTGATAGAGTTAATCCGGCCCTGCATACTATTACGAACATAGCCCGGCGTCATTGTCGCATATTAAGCGAACACAGCTTTTTAAACGGAGATTAAAAAGAACATGCCGCCTAATACATAAAACCTCTCATTTAAATTAAATGGTAGCAAATTTTTATTGTATAAGCTATAAATAAATATGTAGTTTATTTGAATATCGATAATTATACTATAAATAAATATGCTGTAAGGATAATTTTTAATAATTAATTACTCACGCATTTACGAATTGGGTTTCTTCAAAATAATTACGCTTCTAATTGACAATTATTAGTTTTAATTTTAGTGGTATTTGACTGACACTTGAAAATGGAAGAAAATTCAGATTATTTTTTGTGGATGTCGCAATAATGTTGTTGACAAGTAAGTTTGTAAAACGATTTTAAAGATTTTTTTCACCCCCGACGCAAAAACGACGGTGTGTTATAAGTTTGATGTGTCTGTGTGCGTGTTTGTGTGTGACATCATACCTCCCAAACGGATGAACCGATTTTAATTGTTTTTTTTTTGTTTGAAAGGTGAATTGGTCGGGAGTGTTCTTAGCTATGGTTGATGAAAATCGGCCCAAGATGGTCACCGCCACAAAATAGCAGATTACATATTTTTCACAACTCCCTCAATATGGGTATCAAATGAAAGGGCTTGACTAGTAGAAACTATACACTATGATAAATTCAAAATCCAAGATGACTGCCACCACAAAACGGAAAATTACATGTCGTGTTTTTTTTTTAATTTTTAATTTAGCAATTAATAGGTTAAGCCTTAAGTAGGTTTTTTATAAATGGGTACATGTAGATTTTTCAAGTTGGGATTGATGATGCTAGATGAAGAAAACAAAGAAGGCATTATATATTCTCATTTAATTCCTAAAACTCATGAGGTAAACAACACTAAACTATTTGTCATACCAATCGATTGTAATCTCAAACAAAAAGTTACAGTAATAATTCGTACGTCAAATACAAAGGTACAAACATATGCTAAGGCATTTGTACGTAACTTAGAATTTTCCTTAATATCTTTAAACAATCCATTTTTCAATATTGAAACGGAAAATACTGTATTTGATAGAGAAAATTAAATTAATTTAATTAATAATAATTTACACTATGTAATACTAAAATACATAAATACTCGAGTAATTAATGTGAAAGGAAACGTAAAAGAATCGAAATAAAAACACGAACATAAAATTAGATAACGTAACAAGATAACAACCGATAATTTAAGATATTGCAAGATTTGCGAATTTAATATATATAAATAAAAATACCTAAGTATTTTTAAGAATGTTAACTTCAGAATAGGAATTTAGAACTAAAATGCGTGAGTTTTTGCAATAATATTAGAAATAATTTAGTTTACGAAAATACTTGAGAATTTTTACGATGAAACAATTAAATGTAAATTGTTCTACAATGTGAACACTAATACAATAAAGTATACATAAATTGATGATGACTAAATATATGGCACGGCCTTTATCATATTAATGACAGAAACTAACAAAGAAAATACGAATGATAAAAACTAATGTAATCGATTTTAATTTCTGCGTAGTTAGGAACAACAGGAGAGGGCTTATTCTAAACAAAATACTGATACCAGCTAGGATTAGGTGATATAGTACTGTTACCATAAAAATTGATTGGCAATTTTTTTTCTAAATTTTAATGTATATACTGCTAATAATTGCATTATTGCAATTTTAAAAAATGTTGAAAAAATAACATGTTACTTTTTTTCTGTTACAGTGAAAGTTCGAGTAGAAAATGTCTATATTCGTCTATTCTTGAATGTTTTCAAAGATGATCACGCGAAAAAAAAATTCATTCAAACCAAAAATTTAAATTAATTATTTATTTTAAAAATCAGTTGGCAACCCCAAATTGTTGATTATATTATCTTTTAACGTTTTATTATTATATATTTATACGTTATTTAAAGCGTTAAATGTAATATAATGTTTGTTTTACGTAACCATATTGATTTGGAGAGGATAAATATTATAAAAATTAAAATACTAGATATTTTCAAGTAGTAGATAAGTCAACTTAATAAATTGCCAGTTTTTATAATAACAGTATCTATGCTATAATAAAATTGTATTTTAGAAGTATATATACTGCAGTCTGTCAGGTGTCTGTCTAAAACTAAGATGGAAATGGACCGAATGTATCCGGGAATAGAAAAGGAATGCAAAGGTTTTGAAATTCTAATACTGATCTCTGATTTGTAGAATTTATTTTTAATTAAAATGTTTATATGGCATTTTATGGCTACCTCACGGATCTATAATTGTACACGACCAATCTATACACTTTGTACTCAGGAACCAAAAGAATGAGATGGACAGAGCGGATAGAACGATGAATGAAATCGAATGAAACTGTCAATGACAATGTCAGAAAGATAATTATGTCAATCTGATATATTTTTAATATTTTCTAACCGACCAATCTCTTTCGTGTCTTCTCCATTCTAATCTATGCTCAACTGGCACGCTTTGAAGCCATTATCAAGAGAATTAATTGAATATTTTCTATAGAGGTTTTAGTTGCAATACTTAGTATTACATTTACTGTGGGAAATAGATAATTATAATATAATACAAGCTTCATTCATTATATACTAAACGCTCCGTCTATCTTACTCTTAAGTCTGAGATTTTATATGATAAGTATAACAATAGGAATTTATAACATATCTTTTTTCATAAATCTAATCTTATTTACATTTTATAAAATTGACGGCTCTTTTAAATATTTTTTTTATAAATTTGCATGTAAATCTAATGTTCTGAAATAGTTTACAATGATTTTAACTTGTGATATATATTTTTTATATAAATTGGAACTTTTATAAAGCGCTATAGAAATTACATTGATTTTTAAGGCCCATTGTAAACTAATTCAATGATCAATATTGTCATGATTTCTCCAAAGAGGCACAAAATGGCGTTCTTAACCCAATTTCCTTATTGCCTTCATTTATTTTACGAAACCTAAATTAATAATACTATTCGTAAAAATGTCTTTTTCAAGGGGAAATAAATATAAATATTTTTTTATAAGCTATCAACTACATTGGTCTGGGTTTAGGATACACACTTAAGCATGCATTTAGTGTTTCTTCACATTTATTCACTTTCATTAAATACCAAATTTCTGTTAATATTAAAGATTTGCTTTATTTTCTTTTAATGAAAATAAAATTTGGTGTAAATATGAAGAAATACTCAAAATCTTAAATCACTTCTCATTCGATTTGTGTAAAAATCATCTTATAAATGATCAACGTATGTACAAATCCTCACACAATTTCTATTTCTCTTTTAACTTTATAGTTTTTATTGTATATATATTTTGGCACAATGTTGCCTTCTTAAAAGTTAATGTCAGAAACTATTTTGCATCTAAGGCACAATTTAAAGGACTACAATAAATGTTTGTCGTTAATAATCGGGAGTACCACAAGGGAACGTTTTAGTTCACATTTTTCTCCATATAGATATATTTGATATATTTTTATTTAGAATTATATGGACTGGTGAATTATTTAGAAAATTGTATATAAAATTACGTATACTTGTGTAACTTTTATTTGTTTCAACACATTTAATTACACAATTGTTATATTCGAAACGTCTTTATAACAATGTTTATAGAGTCCATTTTCGTATACACTTATGTTAGGTCAATTAATCGCACTAGTGGAAGGTCCAAGGTTTGCTTCCTGGTGCTTGTACTTGTGTGATGTCATCTGTGAGAGTCCGAGCACTGCGAACCCGCATTGAAGACAGTGGTAGTGGGTTTGTTTCTTGCTGTGAATGCACTGTGGTTCATAGCCGCAACCTGTAAAAAGCCCAAATACGTCAGCGGCGCTAAGATAACAGGTAAATTATTATTATAGATAATTATAATTACATTCTAACGGTTATATAATAATAAAGAAGTAAGAAAAAATTCTGTATATTTTGTATTTTTTGACAAATATGTAATAATTTGATATCAATAATTTATAAAGTTTGATATTAGCATTAACTTAAAAAATAATATTTAGTTAGTTTTAAACTTAACAGTTAATATCTCCAACATATGAATTATCTCCATTTTACATTTTACTTTAACCCATTGAGCCTTTTACTACAACTCACAAACTTCGTACTAATTAATTTAAATGTATATTTAGTAAGATTACAATAATCTACACAGTATTACCTTTACCTTTGCTAGGCTGGAACTTCTCGAAGCCAGCGGCTTGAATGTTATCCAGTTTCTGGTGCTGCCGCCTGTGGGCGACCACCTTGTTGGTGTCGGTGCAGACGAAGTCACACTTGAGGCAGTGGAAATGGGACGCTTTGTTTTGTCCTGTCCCTATAAATAAGGGTTTGAACTTAGTCGTTGTAAGAAATATGCTAGAAATTTTGATAATATTATAATATATATGTATAACTTTAATTTACATTAAAGGTAATATATTGAAATTACAAATAATGTACTTAATTATGTATGCAAAACAAATGTACATTTAATTATTACTGTATAAGTCATGTCCGCGTGGAATTGTGGCAAGAATACTAGCCGCATTACCCCGACATGTGTATATATTTGAAACGATATTTTAAGAATAGAATGACCTCTCTATCAGATACTGACAAGTAAGTTATATTTTGCATATTATGTTTCTTTTATAATCTTAATATATATATTTCTTGTGTGCGTGTGTATGTGACTGAACTCCTCCTAAACGACTGGACCAATTTTGATGAAATTTTTTGTGTGTGTTCAAGGGGATCTGGGAATGGTTTAGATTCACAATTTGAATAATAATTTTCATCAAAAAAATTATTAAAAAAAGTTTGAAATTTTCAAATTAAAGACGTGTAGACAGGACAACGTCTGTCGGGTCCGCTAGTAAAATATAAGTTCTTTACATTTGATCCTATATAAAATATAAGAAAAAATACGTTCCTTAAGTTTAAAGTAAAAACATTTATTCAGCCCTTTTTAACCGTCCCACTGCCTCCTGCTCAGTCACTGTACGGGCCTCCCTTCAATACAAGGGGATCAGGCCATAGTCCAACACGCTGGCTAAGTGCGAGTTGGCGGACTTCACATGTCTTTCGAAAACTTGCTAGGTTCATTCAGACATGCAGATTTCCTCACGATGCTTTCTTTCACCAGACACGTGTTAATCATTTTGAAAATGATTCACACATGAGAATATCAGATATGCGAAACCCGGAATTTGAACACACTTCAGTCGGTTTCTCAAACAGCGCGTAACCATTAGGTACATATATGGTGCAATTATAAAAGTGTTTTTTAAGTAAAAAAAAATAAAAGTATATTAATAATGATGATGTTTTCACTAACAATGCTTACCGAAAGTAGAGGCGTGGGGGCAGTCTGGGCGCTGGCAGTACACGTTGGCGCGGTACTGTTGGAAATCGCCGCCCATTAACGTGTCTAGTCTGGAATATTTTTAAAGATATTGTAATGATATAATTAAACTAGAGACTCAACCTCGCTCCGCTTGGGTTGGTCCCTACTTAGTTTTAACGTTTAGTATAGATTTCCGGGATAAAAAGTACCTTATGTGCTATTTCAGACTATAATCTATATTCGTTCCAAATTCCATCCAGATCTGAACAGATTCACAACAGACGGTTGAACCAGCCGTTCTGGCGTACGAGAGTAACAAACATCCATCCATCCATCCTCACAAACTTTCACATTTATAATATTATAGATAATGTTCAATTCAAGTATTCAATTTAATTTTCTTGGTAATGGCTTCAAAGAGTGCCAGTTGAACACAGATTACTTCACTAATGTCACGTAGAATGGAGAAGACACGAAGGAGATCGGTTAGGTAATCATATTATTATTGTGATATGTATGTTTTTTTGGAGGGTAGTTGGTAAAAATGTTAAATTTCTGAAATTTATTCTCTCTCACTGTCTGATAATATAAAATTTAAATCGCTAAGAAGTAAAGAAAATAAGACAAGAGTTCTTTATAGTACAAACATTCGTGCTCATTACACAAATGAATTCCCCCAGCGGGACTTCAACCCGCGACCGTTGGCACAGCAAGTAGGGTCACTATAAACTGAGCCAAACGTGTCGTCAAAATATGGGAATTTATATATAAACTTCAGTTTATATTGCTGTTAGGAAATGCTGTAAGTAAATATTCTAAAAGAATTCAATATTTTGTATTGTGTATTGATCTGTTGAGTTCAAACACACTATATTTTAATTATAAAATAGATTATTATAGGTAGTAAAGTAATAATTACCGTTCATGTCTTGCCGTGTGCTGGACGAACCGAGTTTTGTCACAGAAGGAATAGCCGCAGTCTTTTCTAGTGCAGTGGAAGTGGGTTTGATGCTCCCTAAAATTAAAAAAGATAATTGCAAAACTTTATTTGTCGGCTTCAATTTTTATTCTGCCAAACTCACCCAAGCTAAACCAGCTGAAGTGAATTAACTTAGTTATTGATGATTATTAATTGTATATATGCATTTGAAAAAGACATAAATAGCTATATATTTTAAGCCTATGAATGAATACGAAGATAACAAAAAGAAAATCAAAAGATAGAGCAAGCTCGATTTCATACTACTTTTACATTTTCATATTGAAAACAATTTTGACGCCACAATCTTTGATACATTTGTAGATATCTACGAGTACCTATATCCTATTATTAAACGATTTAATTTAAAATTCTTATGTATGTATTTCTTACCTATAACCACATTGTTGATAAGCGCAGTCCTCGTTGAAGCGGAAGCGCAGGTACCCCTCCGGGATGGGCTCGTCCTTGAGCACGCGCATGTGCGGGCCGCGCGGCGTGTGCGTGCGTCTGCTAACAGTGTATATACGTTATGTTATAGTTTTAATGTTGTATTTACGTACTTATTATACTATTAGATATTATTAAAAAAAAGAAATACTTTCACTATTATGTATTATTTAAAAAAAAAATGTAATTGACGATATTTTAACGCGCTGTCGACTAACGTTTGTCACGTATTTGTATCTATAGGAAAGCAAGCTATTTGTATTTGCTAAGTTTATTAGAGCAGAATATACTCAGATAGAGTAATTTTACGATACGCGAGACGTCACCGTTTATAAAATCTAGTGTATATACCTAGGCCCTTTTAATTTTATTAGCGCGCAAACGAGGCGCATTCTTGTTAGACGTGTCGCCAGTGTTTTTATTACGCGTCAAACATTTCCAACATGTACACAATTAAATACATCAATGTATGTAGGTAGGTAGATAAAAAAAAGAAATTAAAACAACCATTTGTGAGATTTTCAAAGAAAAATATTTTGCTCATCATATAAACCGATAATTTATTTGATTATATTAATTATTACTGTCACTCACGTTTTAGCGATGAGTTCGGCTTCTTTGTCAAGTCCCGGCGGCATGCCGTGCCCTTGGAGCAGACTTTGTTCTAGAAGTAGCTCTGGTGGGTACAACATTGTAGGGTACAGTGGGAAGGCGGAGCCACTGGAAATTATATAGCTAGATTAATATCACATATTGTATAAATCCAAAGAAAAGCAAAAAATCTTATTTTTTTTTGTGCACTATGGTGTGGTTGATCACTGATTAATATTTTATATTTACCCATTATAATTAGTAAATGGTCTAAAATATGTAAAGGAAATATGCAATATATAACGTACTGACACTTGATGTTTTCACTTTTCATACAATTTTTATCGAAGTAAGACTTAATAATTGACAAAATCAATTTGCATAGTGTTATACCACCCTAAGAAAGTTTGAATTGTCAAATTAGCAGCTAAACTAAGTCTGTTAGAATTTTTTTATTACAGAACACATTTCGGCTGTCAGTGCAAAAGCTAACAGACTAAAATACAGTCTTACACACAACTCCTCAACATTCAACCCTATACATTCAACAAACTTAAAAACTCACCCTTGAGAGAACAAAGCGACTTGCGCAAGTCCCGGCAGTCCTGCGAGAGATGCTGTGTATTGTTGCTGCATCTTCAGCTGTTCCTGAAGACTTCCCTTACGACCTCCCGCTAAATACTGCTGGAGAAGCAGACTTTGGACGGCTTGCACCTGGAAATGAACAATTCATTGATATTTCACATGTATTCTTGAGTCATTGATGATGACCACTCTTACTAAGACTTGTGTTTATAAAAATGGTTCCTTTATAACGAGTCTATATTTATACACATACATAAAATCGAAATATCACTCACTAATTGATAACGAAATCACAGAAAGTATAAATGTTACAAGCTTCAAATTTGGGAGAAGATTCCTCATAGGTTAAGAAAGTATTTTTAGAAATTTAAATGTAAAACCATTTTTTTAAATTATGCGAGTAGAGCCACAGGCTATAAAATGTACTAGAGACTCGCCTTCGATTCACTAAAGTTCGTCCCTAGGTACGTTTTAACGGTTAGTATGGAATTGATAGACTATATATTATATTACTGTTCCGCTCCTTTGGGTAGTAGCATGATGATATATATAACTTACACCCATTTTTTCAAATCCGATTAGTAGTTCCTGAGATAAGCGCGTTTAAACAAACTCACCTCTTTGTAATAGTAGTATAGATTAATAAAGTAGAACTATCAATTGTAATAATTTAGAAAGTAAAAATAAAATTTACATTACTGAAGTTTTCACAAATACATCATAGATGGCAGCACTAGTATACAGACATACATTGATATAATTTCAACAATAACAATTACTCTTTAGTCCTTGGTTAAACGTATAAAAACATTATTTTACAGATACAATTTTTAGTTTAGTAAGAGTAGAAAATAAAAAATTGAGTTTATTGAAGTTATACTTCTTTTGGCGCGTTATGAAAAAAATTATGAAGTGTTTTTTTTACGATTAAGACTACAGTATGAAGTTAGTCGTTATTGGCTACAGTGTGAAGTTAGTCGCCAAGTCTCCCTGTAGTATATAGTGATGTCTATATTCAAGATATTTATTCCGGTATTTCCTAGGAAATTGAAGCGTTTCTTTAATTGAGAATGGTTCCTCTTTAAGTATTCTTACTTGTTCTGCCGGATTGGGCGGTCGCTGGCTGGGCGAAGGTGCCTGTGTATTGGATGAGGACGCGGTTGATGGTAAAATTGATATTTCAGGATATTCCCTCTCCAATGTCTCCTGTAGCAAAAGCAAAATTAACTTAGAGAAAGTTATCATCAGTATACTTTGTTTAAATATCGAAAATATTTCTATATTTAGAGAATCTTGTATAAGAAAAATATTATATATAAATAGGACAAGTACAATCGATCTAATAAAATATATTCTAATAAATGACCCGCTATTTTTCATTACATTTAAATTATTATTAAATTTAACAATTATATTATAGTGAAAGCAGCTGTAAGGCAGTGGTAGACCAGTGGTAAGGCGCTCACTTAGAAAACCAAGTGAAGCAGGTTCAAATCCCGGTATAGCACCTCTGATGTTTTCACGCGCGAATCATTTCCACACTGATTACCACTTGTTTACTGTGAAGGAAAAAATCGTAGGAAACCTGCATATCTTAGAAAACCTGACAAGTTTTTGAAAGTAATATGAAGTCCGCATCGCTCTTGGCCAGTGTTGTAGACTATGGGGGGTCCCCATGTATTGAAGGGAGGCCCGTGACCAGGAGTGTGACGTAAAAAGGCCGTTAAACACAATGCATACATACATTATAGTAAAAAATTTATAAATAATCACCTTAGTAGCTGCCAATCCAACAGGACCTGGATCCATATTGCTATGTTTCTTCACCATATGACTGAACAGCAACTTCAGATCAACGTACGCTTGAGTACAATTTGGACAATGATAATGTAAGTTCATTCCTCCCGCGTTTTTGTTCAATGGACATGTCTGATCATGACAAGATGGTGGAATTGTTGGTCCTGAGGTTTTTGGCTCGAATTTCTTTTGCTCAAAGTCCCTTTGCTTGATATCTTTTGAGGGAGACTCGTAAATGCTTCGTGGAGACGACGTGTTGCTTCGAAGATGAGAGGATGGATAGAATGTTCCCGCCGCTTTTACTACTGAAAATAATGGCGGCTCAACATTAATTGGGTTCGACGGGTTATTTATGATAGAAAGTTATTATATATTATTACTATCAGTACATGCGGCTTCGACCGCGTTCAAACTACATAAACTCTTTGAGACACCGACAGCAGCGCCACCTAGCGGGTCCAATTGTGTTTACAAACCATTCAGGAGCCTATTGAAATATGCACACAAAATTTCATCCAAATCGGTCCTGCCCTTTAGGAGGAGTAAGGTGACAAGCATTCGTACAGAAGAATTATATACATATACATATTAAGATAATTCTTTATAGATTAAATGAAATTATTAATAATTTTACTAAGTAAAAAATTTATAATTAATTGCAAAATTAGCTGCACTGGTGTTATTTTACTAAATATTACATGTTAAGTAACCAAGAAGAACACTCACCCGAAACGTTATCTTGTTCTCTTTCAAATTCACTTTTAATAGAGAAATTTGTTGGTGGATATTCGCTCTGCTCTTTTAACGACGCCACACTATCTGCTGACGCTCTTTCCTTTATCGAGTAGTCCTTTGCTTCTTCAAATTCTTTTTCTATCTCATGTTTGACTGCGACATGTTTATGAGTAACTAACGCTGAGTATTGAGTCAAAATTGCTGGGCAACTATTGCCTTGGATGCAATGGAAATGAGTTCTCAGTTGGTTTTTGAAACAACTTTTTCCTCCACATTGATCGAAAGAGGTAAAGAAGTCAAAGCCCTCTAAAAGAGGAGAAATTGAGTGGGATTCTCTCATATGAGTTTCCATTGTGCTATGGGTTTCAGCGGTAAAGCTACAGTTAAAGCAATGGAGATGTAGCCTAGTGGATTTTAAGTGGCAATTCTGGTAATATTGAGGGCAATTATCAGGTGTTGTGAATACTTCGAAGTGTTGAAATCTGATGCGCTATGAAAGAAATTGTTTCTTTATTATTATTAATTTATTATTATATATAAGAAATTACATAGTATTTCTAAATATGTTCGTTTTTACACCATGTTTAGCGTTCTTCTTACTATTGTTTTCCTAAACTAGTAGTATGTTTAGTATGTTATTTTCTTATACTATTTTGTTGTTGTTTTTATTATTTATAAGTACTACTTACAGGAAATTCCTCTACAGTGGGTATGACCGGTGACTGTATGATAGGAGGTAGTTGGTTGCTCTTTGGCAGTTTGAATGACGTGAAAATTGCTTGAGGGGTCACCTAAACGAAAAACAATAAAAAATATTTTTAAATATTCGTAATACCCTTATTTATATATTATACTGTTATTATGAGATAGTTTTTCCACATTAACTTACATTGTCAGTCCAAACTTCGACAACGCGATTCTTTGGTGGTCTTCCTCTTTTTCTACTAAACATTTCGTCTAAGGAACTTGATGGATTCACTTGTTGAGGCACTATGCCGGGGTTGGGCCCAAGACTTAATTGCGCTTGCAAATTTGGATTCAATTGTGACGTCAAATTAGGCGCCATTTGTGCCAATTGTGCCAAGTTTGGTGGCAAGTTTGGCAAACTTGGCACTTGGCCAAGTTGTGCCGCCATGTTTGGATGCAATTGGGCAGATAATTGTGGGGTAAAGCTTGGTGCGAATCTGGCAGCCAAGTTTGGCGACATCGGGCTTAAGAGGGCGTGTTGACGATGGTGCTCGAGACGTCTGAACGGTTGCTCCTCTGATGATAATATCACTGCCCCGCAATTTTCCTGTAAATATATAATAAAGTTATTGAAAATATTGTCTTCAAAATTAGGAAAAATGCTTATTGAACTGATATAAATTATGAAAATTCGCTGTCAGCCTAAAATAGCGAAATTTTCTTTTTTTTATTAAGTTACATCTTTAAAGTAAAAAAGATTAAAATCTAATACATGTATAACATACACCACATGTAGAACTTCCTCAATCTATACAACTCCCACAGCTAGATCACCAAAACAATCACTTACCCAAGTACAGTGATAGTGTGTGATGTCGCGGATGTGCTGGCAGGCGGAGCTGGCGCAGGGGCTGTGGCGCGAGTACGTCACGAAGTACGCCTCAGTCACTTGGTTCTGCTGCTCGTGCTCCATCACGTGCTTGATCATGGTGTTGTGACAGCTGGAACGGTCAATATTAGAAATGTTTTTTATTTTATAGAGTTATTATAATACTGTATCGAGGTTTTATACACAATTATTTTTTTCAAAAGAAAAAATTAAAATAAAATTGCAACGAAAAATGGAAAGATAATTTTATTTACTATGCGTTTTAACACGCTAATTTGTCATTTTATCCAGGTGTGATCTTTAGAAGATATAGGCTATTTTTGATCTTGGTCTATCAATTGTACCATAGAATACCTCAAATGATTAGTTTTAAAACCGTTTTCGATATGACTGTTTCTAAGAGGAATATTATATAGATATAATCATCTTACCTATGAGCCAGTTTGCACCCTTCAGCTAAACAATGGTAGTGTTTGTTAAATCCACTGCATTTACTGCACTTGTCCTCTGCGTCTTTACCGCCATTGAATGTTTCTATGTACTTCCTTGATACCTCTTCTACTAGTGCTGGGTTCTGGAAGGTATTGTTTAATTTATTGATTTTATCCAACATTAAATTTTAAACGGAATTTAAGTCTATGTCTTAATAATTACATATTTTAGGTAAGGAAATTATAAGAATTAATTCATATGTAGATTTCGGATTTGTTGTTTATAGAGCTATATTAGTATATAGTATTTAATTTCAAAGGATTTTAAATTACCTACTTTTAAATTTTAACTATCAATTTGGTGTAATGTTAAGAATAAATAGTCTTGTGTTTTAATGTTTTAATATAAAACTTACATATGGATAATCACTGTCCATCATAGAACTGGACAAGTCATCATCGTGAAGATTGCTTCCAGGCGAGTACATACTGAGATCAGTTCCTTGTTGCATTAGAGCATTTTGTATCATAGAAGTCGGTAACCTGTATAATATTATGAATAAATAATTAAGAATAAATTTTGTACTTTTGTAGAAATTATTCTTATAAGGTTGTCAGTTTCTACGACGCGGTCCCGAAAGTTTTAGAAGCCTATAATTTACTTAAGTTAAAACACGACGATTTAATAACGCATATATCCCATCCCATTAATCCCATAAATATTATAAATGCGACAGTTTGGATGGATGGATGTTTGTTACTCAATCACGCCAGAACGGATGAACGGATCTGGATCAAAGGCACAGATATAAATTTTAGTCTAGAATAAATAGCACATAGGTTTTATCCCGGAAAAATATACGGTTGCCGTAGGATAGATTTGTTTTTGTTTTTCACAAAGCAAGTGATCGACTATATAAAAAATAAGCTAATAAAGATGATAGTAGCAAATCTAGAACTTACCCAAAGCTCATCTCCTGTTCCTTCCTCTCATGTTTCCTCTTATGGGTGAAGATCTGACTGCTCGAATGCAGTACGTAATTGCAATGCGGTCGAATACAATGTATATGGTTACAAGTGCGGCTAAACCGACAGTCTCTGTATGGACATGCTTCATTCTTCATGTACTTCTTGAAGCCATCCTTTGATAGTGCTTCGTCTTTTATGTGATATGTTTTATGTTTTTCTGTGAAAGTTTTGTTTTATTTGACTTAGACAAGTTTTGTACATTCGTTTATTGTACATTTTATTAGTTTGGTTCTATAAATACTACCAAAATGGTTTGCCAAAATTAATTTCAATGATAAGAACAACTTTTTTTTGTTATCATATTTATGATATAACATGATAAATACTTGCCCATATCAGCTTTATTTTTAAACGTATATGTGCATCCAGGTCGTCTGCAATGGAAATGAGTGGTCCTTTGTCCTGAGAATATACAGTGTGGAGCCGCACAATTTTCAGTGGCTCGAAACCTTTGGAAGCCTTCTTGGAGTATTGCTGAGTCTTTGCGATGGTAGTTTGCGTGCATTTGTACGTCTGATGTTGATATGTATACCTTTAGGAAAAAATATTAATTTTTTTGTCTTTTCTTTTTTGAATCAAAACTATTTTATGCGTGACGGGTAAGTAATATATTGGAAAAATGAGTGTCGTGGAAGTGAAAGTAAAAACTATCAATAGTAATAAAATGGGTGCGTGTAACCTTTACGCGCAGTTGAAGTAAAACTCCTTTAGCAAATATTGCAAATAAATTAAAACAGATCAATAATTAAATAAGGCATATTGGCATTTTACAATCATATATTTATAGAATATCATATATAATATAATGAAAGAAGATAATATTATATATTTGATAGATAAACAACGGTTACCATGGTAATATGGCAATGTATTCTATCTCATTCTCTCGCCGGCTTAATCCTATATATTTATGTTTGTCTCTTTTTTGTGTTGCATTTTAGTTTCATCGAGTTTCAAGTCACAAGGATTCTAAAGAAGTTTCACTTCAAAAAAATATTATAGTACTACTACCTACTTATTTATATTTTTAATTTTTATAATAATTAATAATTATTTATAAAAATGATGATGTTCTCCTGGCCGATTCCGGCTACGGCAGCCACTCTCATTGAGACTAGCCAACTGCGCAGGAGATATTATAGTGCACAAGTGTACGCGTAGACACAAGTGCCCTCTCTATTCCTGTCACTCTCATACTCCTATGGGACGACTGCACTTTACGTGCTCTCCGAGGCACGGGGGTGAAACACCGCCAACTTCCCAACTCCGGGCTGTTACTAAAACTTATTATACAGAAAGACTCAATAATTAAACTTGGCCCGACCCGGGACTCGAACCCAGGACCTCCGAGTGTGCAACCGTACATGCTAGCCACTACACCTCCGAGGGAGTTGTTATAAAAATATATATTTATTATTAATCTTTATATGTATAATTCTTCTGTGAGTGTGTATGTCACTGAACTTCTCTCAAACGACTGGACCGATTTTGATGAAATTTTTTGTGTGTGTTCAAGGGGATCTGGGAATGGTTTAGATTCACAATTTGAATAATAATTTTCATCAAAAAAATTATTAAAAAAAGTTTGAAATTTTCAAATTAAAGACGTGTAGACAGGACAACGTCTGTCGGGTCCGCTAGTAATTTTATAATATAATAATTATTATTTATAAAAATGAATATTTCCTTACCTTATCACAGCCATCTTGTATGCAGTGGTAGTGAGTCTGACTCCGATTGTGAGGACAGTCAGTGAACCGCTCGGAGCAGTCGTCCAGCGGTGAATAACGCATGAAACCATGCGCTAAGGATTCATCTCGTTTTTTGTGCCACTAAAAAGTTAATTGTTATTTAATATTTTTTTACATATTTCGTTATATTTTTATTAAATTTATTACATATGTAATTATAATAAGTTTATTTTAATACAATGATTGTAAAAATTATGATTTTCTAACACATACGGTTATTTATAATCATTGTTTGTAGGTAGTTCTAAATGTTTAATTATTAAATAATTAAAATTCATGTTTTTATAAGTAACTATTATAATTCTATACTAAAAATAAAATAAAATATAAAGTTACCTTAAAATGCCTGATCATCTCCTCCTTCTTACAGAAAACTCTGGCAGTGCAGTCCATACAATGAAAATGTTCTCTGTAACCCAAGTCTTTGCAATAGGACGAACCACATTCTAATGTTGAACTATATCTGAAATAGTAAATGGTAGAAGATTTAGACAATAATATTTTTGACCATATTAGTGTAGTAGTAGCATTTCTGACTGATACTATTATAGTGCACCTGAGATTGTTTTTACGTAAATGAGCATATGTTTTGTATTGCTCATACAAATATTTGTATGTATATTATTAGGTCACACTGTGGCGTTAAACACAGCTAACTGGTGCTGCATTAAATTAACAAAAGTGAAGAAAGGAGTGTTAAAGAACGATATTGCCCGTTCTCCCCCTTAAAGAAATAATCTTTGTATACATTAAATCACGGTTTTACAATAGCGACTACTTACAAGATTATCTATGACATTGAATCTTACCTTTTGACATATCTGGAGTAATCCACGGTCGTTTGCATGGAGTTCTTACGCGCCTGATCCAAATGATTCAAGGCTGACAGCAAACCTAAATAAAAAAGAATCCGATGTTACAAAAAAATACTCATATTATGCTAATACAAAACAACAATAACGTTGCGTTCTCCATTCCTTTTCCTTCAAACTTATTCTTTTGTTTGGAACAGCCAAATCACCTCCATGCATCATATTCAACTGAACAATGTACTGTTTTCATCGTGTAGGAAATATTTAATAACTCCCAAGTCACTATTCAAAACGCCGCTATTTTCGTTAGAGTCTTAAGCGGCGAACATTTTTAAGTCAAAAGGAACTTAAACTAGCTCGTGAAACCGGCCCCTCCCCACATCAAGTTTTGGAGTATCAAATAAATTATTATGGTAATTAATCAATGTTTTCTCCTAGTCACTCTGGGCTATGCCATTGTGAGTGATCGTTGACTCGTCTACATACATTACATCACAAAAGTTTTTGTAAATCAACTCTTTTAAAATGACGCCAGATTTTATCATTAAAACTGTATCTATCGATATAGTCTCGTTTATTGCTTTATTAAATTGAGCTATACTACTTAAGAGTAATCTAACTTATCTAATAGATTTAGAATGTTTCTCAGATGGTATTTTGTTTCAATTTTTTAGTTAGTCTCGACTTTAAGTGATTATACATTATAAAATTATATAATTTTAAATTAAAACTTTTACTTGCATCATACATATTTATTATAATGAAAATTTGAATTATTTGTTGGTACAATTGAAATAAACGAGTAGACGTATGTCGAAACACCACCTCTTCGTCTTTTTTACAGAACAGTTTTGTAAGACGAATTAATACCTATACTTATGTAGATTAGCGTTCACAACACAATGGATGTTAACATACAGCTTGATAATTTGGTGTGTTACATAAGACGTGCATGAATACTCGTGATTGTAATAATAGGAGAGGACTAGAGAGCAGGTTATTATAAATGAGGGAGAGATCACTTGTTCTTAAGTTTCTCGTTTCGAGCGTTAATAGCTCACGATTTTGTAAGTGATTGTGCGAAAACGATATACTAGTATATGTATTGTTCCGTCGATACGTGTGTGAAGCGGATTTATTACCTTTAATTCGTGGATTTGATTAGAATGATAGCTGGGGAAATATGAATTTGGAACAATGGGGCTTTGTTTTAGACTTATGCATGAACCGTATATTATTATTTGTTTTTATTAAAAAAACTTCATATTTGAAAGATTGATAAGTATTTAATAAAATATACTGATAAAATGGATGAAATGCTCAAATAATTAATTAATTGAATCAAAATGATTTTTCATTTCGACGAACTGAATCACTATAAAACTTAAAGCAAAGTCTCAGACAACCGTAAACGAAATCCATCAAGCATTAAAAAATTCCGGCATCTAAACCAATTTCGGCGTTATGGACTAATTTTCTCAAATGTAAATTCACATCATCTCATTTGACGGCTACAAAAATAAGCTGATGGAGAAAACAAAAAAACAATGAGTGAGAGACCGCATCAGATAATGTTGGACATAATAAACATTTATACTAAGGTGGTTTTTAGGAAATTTCGTAAGATATTGTGTAGGTTCGTTCAACCGAGACAATGGGGTCCTCATAATGTTCAACATAATGGTTTTTGAATTCACCCAGTGGAACCATACGTTGTGATCGAAAGTTCTTAGTCTCATTCACAGAACCGGGTGTGTCAACTAACTATACGTAAACAGCTACCGGTTTGATTTTAATACAATATCCTAATCAATAGAGTTGATAGTGACTAATGATTTGTCTAACCTCTTGAACCATGTTTTAAGTTTTTTTTTTAATATGGATATATAAACCACTATAAATAAATAAATAATAAACATCTTGGGACATTAACCCACAACATCATCTAGTCCCATGCTAAGCAACGAAGCTTGCATTATGGATGCCAGAAATTTGATACACTACACATATACAACTTTAAACATACATACATATAATATATTGTAAATATAAACACCCATGACTGGAGTACAGGCATTCGTGCTCATCACACAAATGAGTGCTCCCAGCGGAACTCAAACCCGCGACCGCTGGCACAGCAAGTAGGGTCACTACAAACAGAGCCGAACGTGTCGTCAATACTACAACTATATTTAAATTTAATAACTTATAATATTTAAAATAATTTGAAGTCTCGCTTACTTATATTGGTAACTAACGACTCACCCTCGCTTCGCTCGGGTTCGCCCCTAGCTTGCTTCCCAATACAAACTTTCATCCCCATTTTCACCCCCTTAAGGAGTGATTTCCGGAATAAAAAGTATTTAATGTCCTTCCCAGGGTCGCAAACTATCTTCTTACCAAATTTCATCTAAATCGGTTCAGTAGATCCAGAGATACCCCCTACAATGTCACAAACTCATAATCTCACAAACTTTACCTCTTTATAATATTAGTATAGATATATTTCAGACTTAAACTATCAGATACAAAACAGCGATTGCCTAATAATCTATTTGAAATTTCGAATATGCGATTGACTTTTAGATAAATTTGATGGATTTACTGCACCTACTTTAATCAATGCAAGATAATTTGTCAAAATTTTTGAACGATTCTAATAGAGCTTCTGATATAGTTTAAAAGTAATTGTTGTTGCTGTTTGTAGCAAGAGTATTCAAAATATAATCTTTTTTGCATAAGTTTATAGCTAAATAATGTTTTAAGTATACTAATAACACTATTTAATGACACACCAAAAAGATTTATATAAATAAAAATCAATTGCAATATGTATGTAAGCGAATTACTTCAGAACGGCTGCACCTATTGGCTATTTGGCTAACTATTTTTTTGTTGTGTTGGTAACTGTCAAGGTTTGTAAGAAAGAAATGTTTGAAGAATTGTACGAAAAAGTGGAGAATTTGGGTTAAAAATCTCCATATAAAAAAGTGAGTTGACAGATTGGCGTTCAGTTTATTATGTTAAACTTATGTTGTTTTAAAAATAGCTTAACTGTTTAGTGCAGTTCATCTGTTAACATAAGTGATGATCTGTTATATCATTACAACAACATTTAAAAAAAAATCTTATTATTCTTATATGACAGCTTTGTCAAAATGTAAGATTATTTATATAAATATTGTTTTTAGTGAAATGATTGTAAAATCGAAACTAAAACATCTTAATTATAATATTATGAATTGTACACGAAAAAGGATGAAATGAATGAAAAAGTACCACCCACTCCTCCACAGGCCGCGTCCCATACAGTAAACATGTGCTATACCAGCACTTGAGCGCGGGCACAGCCGCGGGATACTGCTAGTTATAAATATTATGTATTTAAATTAAATATTAAATTTTAACTAATTGGAGAAAGATTTATGTTTTTTCTTGACATTTAAATACAAGAACTACAACAGTCCTTCACAACATGAATACGGTTAATATCTCTCGTATTTTATAATTGTACGCTAAATTATCTGTAGATAATCCGGTCTTATTATATTATTCATTCGTACAATGAAGTAATATAGTTCTAATAAGAGCACGTTTATTTCCCCCTACATCTAGAATCTGATTATTATCAACGAGTTCAATAACTGCATCATCAATTCTTCGCATCCGCGCTCGGTCTTCCATCTCAATTGACATTTATTCCTTGCAAGTATCTCTAAAATGTAAATGCGGTTATACGCACCAACCCACAAATACTTTACTTTTCTGTTTTCAAAACCGTCCTCACCCTTATTCCTTTGAGTTAAGGACTATGTTCCAAATTACCAACAGCAAAATTGGTATGTCTTTCGCCACATATGTCTGACCTAAGTTGATACATTGTATTGATTGGTTTATTAAGATCACGTATAGAATCGAGGGGTCCAGGTACACTGGTGAGACGTTATAGTAAATTTCATAGCACTATGAAAGAGGCAATGAGGCGGGGCGATAAGTACGGACAAAGATCTGGCTATTGACACACACTGTAACCACCTACTTTGGTTTTATTAATGAATGTGTGCAAGTTCGTATGTTAATAGCAACGTCAGTTGATGTCTTATCTGTTATATTGTAATTATAATTTCATAATAAAAAAATTGACTCATACGAATCTTAAAATGTGGATTGATAAATAATTTAAAATATAATTTTAGATTTAAGTAAGCTTGTTATACAATAAATTTATACCTTTACAAGGACGCACTTATTATAAATTAATAACAATTACAATCCTGGTTTAATTCAATTGACATTAATAAAACAAAAATGGACTCCACTTGAGACAACGAGTATCAAGAATCGCTACATAAAACAAAGCAAAACGAAAAACACACAGATATCGATGATAAAGAATATAAAAGGAAATGAAAAGTTAAAGAAACATAACAAAACGTATTTCTGAGTATGATATCGTTTATGGAAGTTCCTGGATATGTAATTGAATTAAAATAGAATCTTATGCCCGATTTGTAACGAGATGAATCATATTCATTGTTCATTACGTAAATATATGATGACTATACAATTTTTATAGTTTGAAATATAAAAACAGTGCTATATTACACTTTAACACATTTAATTAAGATTGATAATAATGATCATAAAAGTTGTTAAACGATAGGAAATAAAAAAATAATAAAAGTCTTAAATTTTAATAAAATATTTCATCTAAAGATTAACGATAGCAAAACAGGCTTTTATTTCTATCGGTTAAAATATTTGATCTCAGATTTGAAATAATATTTTTCCTGTACAGATAAAATATTCATATCTCATTGTTATTTCGCACCGTGAGATCTTTTTGTGTTCGAATAGCGAGTTCAGTAATAATTCAAATGTATGCCAATCCTTTTTTGTTGGTTTGTTTTGCGGCATTTTTTCTGTATCTGGTTAATTTTTATAGCCGCGTAACCATAATATTTTATACATCGGTTAAATAACTATGATTATAAATCATTTATCATTCTCTTTGTTTATTTTATTTAATTAAATTTAAAGTATTATTTGTAATAAAATTTGTATTCAGAATGAAATCAAATT